TTGAGACCTGGCAGTGCTCCTGGATTTTGGGAATCCCAGCTCCCTTCGGAGCCGGGCAGTGCCCGGGTGCCTGCGCTGCAGCCAGGGATGTTCCTCCCTACGCACACGCGGGCTCGCGTTTGTGCGAGCACGTCCCTTTGCGCGTACACCCCTCCCTTATCTCCGGGACCTCATCTTTCCTCTCTGTCTCCCAGGTTTGGTTTTTATAAGTACATGAAGATGGATGAAGAAGAGGAGGATCCACGCCAGCGAGCGTTTCTCTTCCTCAACCCAGACAGTGAGTCACTGCTCCCCGCTGGCAGTTTTTTGGACATCTCTCAGCAGCTTGGCACGGGGCTGAGCACCTGGCATCCTCGCCCACCAGCCCATCCGCTCGGAGATGCAACTCATCGGGATGAGCGATGCCGGGGGGCTCGAGGAGGGCAGGGCTGCGCGGAGCAGCTTGCCTCTGAGCAGTCCCGTGTGCCCTGGGGTCACGCATCCCGCTCGGCTCAGCCACAGAGCGCTGCGGGATATGGGAAGTGGGATGCTAGGGTTGGGATTCGCCCTCCCTGCTTCTTGAAGCCGTGTACCCACATCTCCTGAGTTTGCCTGGTCAGTGGGCAGCAGGATACGACCAGACCTGGTGTGGAGTCTGGGGATGTCTGCGGAGTCTGGGGATGCTCAGGGGGACCCGCAGGAGCCGGGTTGTTCAGAGCCTGCCTTGCTGTCGATTTGCAGCCTGGCAAAGCCCTGGCAGGCTAGGTTTGCTCCCGGATGAAATAAGAGTGGTGCCAAGATGTGACCAAGGTTTGGAGGGGTTAATGGACAGAGCCTGGAGCTGCCAGCCCTGGTGAGCATCAGTCAGTGCCCACCAGCTCTCAGTCTCTGTCGCCCAGCGGCCGTTCGCAGTTTAATCTCTTGCTGGAGACAAGCTTTGCCTCCTTGTCTTGGGCCAGCACGCTGCAGGGGGTTGTGCTGAGCAGCCAGAACCCTTGGGGTATTTATGTCCGCCTTTACTCCCTAGATTTCCTTGAGGAGGAGGAGGAGGAGGAGGAGGAGGAGGAGGAGGAGGAGGAGGAGGAGGAGGAGGAGGAGGAGGAGGAGGAGGAGGAGGAGGAGGAGGAGGAGGAGGAGGAGGAGGAGGAGGAGGAGGAGGAGGAGGAGGAGGAGGAGGAGGAGGAGGAGGAGGAGGAGGAGGAGGAGGAGGAGGAGGAGGAGGAGGAGGAGGAGGAGGAGGAAGGAGTGGATAGCCCTGAGCCCACAGACCCACCTTCTGAAGCCAAGGAGAAGAGTTTTGGGCCGGTAGCTGAAGCCAAAGGGAAAGAGACCCTGCCGGTCACCGGGGATTACGGAGACGACCTGGACTATTACAGCTTTCGCCGCAAGCAGGGCCAGGCCCGGGACGAGGCGAGCATGCCTGGGCAGCCGGGAAGATGGAGCACGTCCCGCCAGACCAGCGCCAGCCCGGCAGCTGTCCCCAAGGACCTCCGTGGCGAGGAGGATGTGGGCCCTGTGCCGGAGCAGGTCCATGGGCGGATGCTCAGTTGGTTACCCCAGGATCCCGGCAAAGGCGAGGAGGATGAACTGGGGCTGCTGGCATCTTCGAAGCGTGCTGGGGCTCTGAGCCTTCAACCCCACCTCTCTGTTCCCATCTTTGGTGGGAAAGCCAAAACGCCGGGTCCCAGCAAGACTGCAGCAACCAGGGAGGACAAAAAGCCCCAGAAAGCCCAGGAGAAGGTCTACGTGACCAGGCTGCAGCTGGGGAAGCGCAAAGCCCCAGCCCAGGAGCCGGTCTTCCCTGGCATCTTCCTTTACCCGAAACCTCTGAAGAAAGTCCATCTTCGCTCCAGGACACCTCAGAAGCATCCCATTGCCTCCAGCAAGCTCCGTGCCGTCCCTGGCCGCCGGACCCCCTGGCTCCTGAGCAACATCTCCAAGGAGACGGACCCTGCCAGTCGGAAGAGCACGCGGGTGGCAGGCAGGAGGTGGGAACGTCCGTCTAAGCTGGGGACCGAGCGGCGGATGCTGCCCAGCCTCCTCGCCCTGGGGACCGAAGGACTCTTCAGTAGGGAGACCCATGAGGACACGACCCCTGGCCCAGGCAGGACAGCGGCCACCACCGATTACAACTCCTCTGAGGTGACCCACTCGGAGGGGACACGGGTGACATCCTTTCTGAAGATGTCAGAAACAACGGCGTCCCAGCAGGAGGAGGGAAGGGGCCAGGAGGAAGAGGAGGAGGAGGAAGAAGAGGTGTCAGACTACAGCTATGAGACCGGGGAGCTGCAGCAGAGCTGGCTGGAGGACTCCATCAACTGGCAGAGGACGTTCAGTGTCAGCTCGGTGGACTTTGAGCTCCTGCGCTCCGACTGGAACGACCTGCGCTGCAATGTGTCGGGCAACCTGCAGCTGAGCGAGAGCGAGGTCGTCGACGTGGTGGCTCAGTACATGGAGAAACTCAACGAGAAGAATGGAGGGTAGGGAGGGAGCAGGGCATGGGTGGGAGGTTGGGGGGGGACGTGTCTTCGCCCCGCTTGTCTCCTTGGGGCTGGGTGAGCTGGATGGTGGGTTCAGGCCAACCCCTCGAGCAAGGGAGCTGCGGGGAGCAGAGCTCACGGCGATGGTGCTTTCAAGTGCTTCTCCTTTCCCTGTAGCATCTACACCCTCCTCAGGATTGTTAATGTGGAGAAGCGTCGGGACACGGCCCGGGGGAACCGCTACCTGCTGGAGCTGGAGCTGGCAGAACGGGGCCAGCGGACGGTGCGGCTCTCCGAGTACGTCTATGTCCTCTTGCACCAGGGCAAGCAGGATGACAGCGCTGAGGCCAACCCCGAAGGGCCAGCCCTGGGGGCCACCGAGCCCCAGCCGAGCACCTGGAGCATCCTCTACGGAAGACCCGTCCTGTGCCGGCCCCTGCGGCTCAGCTGGAAGCAGGACGTCATGGTGCACTTCGTCGTACCTGGTAGGTGACAGAAGGACTCGTCTCTCCAGGGTCTCTGCTGCTCCCTCTGCCTTCAACATCCTCCGGCGGGAGGAAGGCAACCTATTTGCTCCCTGGTTGCATCCTCCAGGCTGGCCCAAGGGGGATGAGGTTCTCTCTTCTCATGAGATGCTGAGGTTATTGCTTCTCATCAGAAGTTTTGGTTTGGTTGGGGAAGGGGGTGCTCTTGGGACCCCCATGTTGAGCCTGAGGGATGTTTGTGGCTGTGTCCGGCAGTGAAGAACCAAGCCCGCTGGGTCCAGCAGTTCATCTCGGACATGGCCCGCCTGTACGGGGCTACGAAGGATGCCAACTTCAACGTCATCCTGGTGGACTTTGACAGTGATGACATGGATGTTGAGAAAGCCCTACAGGATGCCCGACTGCCCCGGTAAGCCACCCCACACGAGCTCCGGGTCCCACCCTGCTGCCCTCGAGGCTGTCGAGAGGGGTCTGCGGGGCTCCTCGTGGTGGGACAGGCCGTCCTGGTGGTGCTCACACAACCTGCTGCTCCTTCCCCAGCCCAGCACGGGTCTCTGCCTCACTGCCCCTCTCCTCCCCCTCTGGTTTGGGAGTTTAAACTTGTTTCCCACGTGGAGGAGACAGGGGTGCAGAAACCTCCTCTGCCTCCGTGGGGGGACCCTCGGCATGAGTTGTAGGCACCTGGCCCCCTTCCTGAGAAGGTCCCCTCTCCTGGCTGATGGTCCCTGTCCACCTCTTGGCTGTGTCCCTTTCGGTCACCAGCACTAACCTGTCCTCTCTCCTCAGCTACCAGTACCTGCGGCGCACAGGGAACTTCGAGCGCTCGGCTGGGCTGCAGGCTGGCGTGGACACGGTCGAGGTGAGCTGGGGGAGAAGAACCAGCTCTCGCCTTGGCTTCTCTCCCGGAGCTGTTTTGCCCTGATCCTCCCACTTGTCTGTCCCCTCCTGTAGGATGGGCACAGCATCGTGTTCCTCTGCGACCTGCACATCCATTTCCCCCCCAATATCCTGGACAGCATCCGGAAGCACTGCGTGGAGGGGAAGCTGGCCTACGCGCCCATTGTCATGAGGCTGAGCTGCGGCAGCTCCCCGCGGGAGCCCAACGGTAAGCGGGGTCCCCTCTGCCGTGACGCCTTTCCAGCTGGAAAACATCCCCCGCCTGCCCGAGGAGAGCTGCGGCACTGGGTTTGGGTTACAGCCAGGCTTGGATGCTCAGGGAGGGTGGGTTTGTTTTGCTCTGGCAAGATGGGATTCAAGCCCAAGGGTGCTCGAGGCGCGCTGGGTGCGATGCCCCCCCAAAACCAGCTGTCACCCGGTGCACCCCCATGGGAGGTGGTGGTGATGGGGACAGACCTGTGGTGGGAAGAGGGGTTGAGACAGGGTGCTCCCAGGTAGCGGGGAGAGCACAGAGGTGAGGGCCTGGGGATTTGGGGGTCCCCCCACACCCCTTGCCTCATTGCTCTCCCCCCTCCAGGCTACTGGGAGGTGAATGGCTTCGGCCTCTTCGGCATCTACAAGTCGGACTTCGACCGTGTGGGAGGGATGAACACGGAGGAGTTCAGAGACCGCTGGGGTGGGGAGGACTGGGAACTCCTGGACAGGTGAGGCTGGGGGTCCCGGCAGCCCCATACCCCTCCCGGGGCAGGGCTGGCCACGCGGATTTGGGCGCATCCCCTGGGAAACCCTCCCTCCTCTCCATCAAGCTGGCTAAAGGCTGGGGCGATGCGGTGGAGAAGGGGCAAAGCCTCCCTTTAGGAGGCCTGCATCCGTCCCCTCCCTTCCCTGAGCGGCTGTCCCTCCGTCCGGCTGCAGGGTCCTTCAGAGCGGGCTGGAGGTGGAGCGCTTGCGTCTCAGGAAGCTTTACCATTACTACCACTCCAAGCGCGGCATGTGGAACACCCGCAGCAAGAAGCTACCCAAGGACTAGCGCCCGAAGCTACAAGCTACCCAAGGACTAGCGCCTGGCCTGC